TTGTGGAGGGTAGCGCCCGTCCTTGTGGAGGGTAGCGCCCGTCCTTGTGGAGGGTAGCGCCCGTGGAGGGTAGCGCCGTCCCTCTCACGCCCTGTGCGTCGCCCAGGGGCCCGACGGAGGGGATTGGCCCATATCCTGCCTACGTCGGAGGCCTTCGTGTGGGCGGCATGGGTGGGGATGGGGACTCCGAACCAGGGCCTCGCGGCCCCCTTTATACACAGACGTCAACCATAATCCCTCTGTGTGTGGATAACACGCCCCCTTGGTGGATGTTCATACACAGGTATACGGCAATGGTGCTCCTGGCTAACAACTCGTTCCTCCCCTTCCTCCCTTCCGCCCTCTCTCCCTTCCTCCCCTCAGGTCTCCGTCCCCTGGGGCGAGGTCAACGCCGACATAACCTGCGCCCACGGTGGCCTCATGTACGCCTTTGCTTTCGTCCTTCTCCCCTGCTGCCTTGCCACACACATTAGAGCTTCCTTTCCCACCTGGACTTCTCTCTGGCCTGCCCTACACGCCCGCGCGGGATATATGTCCTACCCTTGTGCCCCCTTGTCTCTCCTCGCGCTGCCCGCATGGCCTCGAAAATCTCCCTCTTCCTCCCTCTTCTCCCTCCTCTTTTCATCGTCTCTGACCCTTGCCCTCCGCCTTCTTTGCCTCGTGCAGGCCCGTACAGCGCCCTTCCCCCGGCTCCCCGTCCTCTGTGCCTTCGTCTCCTGCCTCCTCGCCCCTCCCCCTCGCCGGGAGCGGACTCGTGATGGGGAAACGGAAGATCATCGAGAAGCGTGCCTGGAAGGTGAGGGGGGCCAGATTGCGCGGTCAGGGTCTGGGCAGGCAAATCGAGTCGCTAGGGAGTTCCCTCGGTGGCCAAGACAGCCCCCGCCCTCCCACTGGCTTTCCCACCTCTCCTCCCTCCCCTTGCCACCAGGCTCTCCGCCGGTACTACACAGAGGGCAAGGCTTTCAAGGTCTCCGCCACGGAAGAATGCCTGCAGTGCAGTCAGAGAGAGAGGTGGGTGTGCTGCCCTCCTCTTCCTGTGCCTACGCTCCTCGTCGTCGCGCACGGACTCTGGAAAGAGTGTGAAGCCCTCTCAGCCGTCGTCCTTCTCCCTCTTCCTCCATTCCTTGCTCCCTGGCGTATTTCACAGGGAAGAGAAGGAACGTCTGGAGGAGGAGCGGAGAAACCGAGACTTGGAGCTCTCTGCCTCGCCGGCTTTAACGGCGCTGTACGCGCGGAGGACAGGTGGGCAGGCGCGGGGAAGACGGGAAAGGAAATTGGACAGAGAAGACCGCCACATATTCTCCGCTCTTCCCCATCCCCGCCCGCCTTCAGGTTGCCCCCCCTCCTCCTTCTCCCTCCCTCCTTCCTCCTCCTCCTCCGCCCTCTTCCTTCCCCCGCTCGACCCCGGGCTCTACCACCTTCTCCCTCGCTGCTGGTTGACGGTCTGGCGCAACTACCTCCGGTGCGAAGTTCCCCTCCTTCTGTCCCTTGTTCTTCCCTCCTTTTTGTCCTCATTGTCACCTCCTAGGGTCCATTCTGCTGGGAAAGAGGCGGTAGATCTGCCGGTTATTTTTCATTGTTCTTTTTTATCGCTTTGCCTTCTCTCTCTTCTGCCTTCCTTTCCCCAGAGATCCCCGGGCGCCTCGTCCTCGCCCCCCCGACCTCTCCCTCCTTCTCTGCGAGGCCCACGGCCTCCCTCTCGTCCCTCCGCACATCTCCTCCTTCTTGGACGGGGAGAAGAAAGTACGGAGGGGCGAAGGGGATGAAGACGAGGGGAAAAGAGGGCGAATCCGTCGGCTTCTCTCTCTCAAGGCATCTCCCACGTACCTTCCCTCCATCACGCCCAGGGTGTTCTCTCCTCGCTGAATGGTCGGTCGGGCGTCGTCTGCGAGATCGTCTCGGTGGAGGAATGGGACGAGCTGATGAAGCACTACCCCACAGACTACTGCCTCAAGTACGCCCCCCCCTTGTCCTCCCCTTCCGCTCACAGCTCCGTGTTTCAATCCCCCTCATCACGCACAGGAGATGCCCCTTAGAACCTTCACGGACTCGAACGCACGCAATTACCTCATCTGGCGTTCCCGCTTCGTTCCCCTCTCCCTTAGGTTCAGCGTGGATCCCGAAGACCTGTCCATCGCATGGTCCACCTCCCCCTGCGCACGGTACGCTCCTCGTGCCTGTCTCCCTTAAGCACGGGCGGGCCTTGTAACTTCTGGAAGTCCTCTGACCTTTGACTCCTTACGCCGCTTCCTCCATTCCTCTACTCATCTCTTTTTTACTCGGCAGTTGCGAGCCTGGAGTGGACGATATGAGTGTTACTTACCGAAATCGGCAGCGGAAGTGGAGCTTCTGAATAAAATTATCCGAGGGACAGAATCAAAATGTCAGATTGAAGGAAGCTTGAATTGGTATGAGATTGATACGCCTGAAAGAGGGTGTTAGGAATTCGGTTGTAGGCATTTAAGTTTACGTATTGAACAAGAACTGAGGAAAGTAAGTCCGATAGGGCTTCACATTTAATGATGAACCAGAAGCCCGGGAGAAGAGAAGTGGAGAGTGGAGGAAATTTATAAAAATTAGGGACAAGATCGTCTTGACACGTTTGAGAGTGTTGCATGAAATCGACCTGAAAATAAAATTATTCTGATCGTAGCACGGCGATATTTGATATCCCCTCAGAGTTGAAGCATTCACGGACCTCTGGATTGCAAAAATCGAAAATCTAATAAAAAGGTTGCGAAGTGATACAACACTGTGCATTCAAGTGGAACACACCAACAGGTAAGATCTTACTACAAGCCGCTCTCTACATTAAACCCTGTGATGGCACCACAGGACTATATTAAGCGCTTATCAGTCCTTCCTCGTTGCGCTCCGGATCAAATATCAATCTTGGACGTCAAGCCGCACTCATGTTAACAGCCATGCTACATCTTCTAAAATAATTTCGAAAAGAAGACCGCCATTTAAGTAGGAGCGCTCACGTGCACTCTTTGCAGCTTACGATAATTTTCTGTGGCCAATGGGATCGTACGCCTATTAGAAATAGGATCGTAAGCCGTGAGCGACTGCTCAGTGAGGAGCGAGAGTCAACGTGCAGTCTTGTCCCCAGTTGCTTTCTGTGGCTCCATTTCAGCGTGTGCTTTTGATTTACCGATCTTGAAAGCCCTGTTTCCCCTTCGACAGGCACTCACAAGGTCGTATGTTTTATCGAATGGCCGGTTTTTACACTTGTATTCAAGCTCTACGACGCTGCGCATATCTGGGATCGAAGTAATGGAGCCCCTGATTTGAAATAGGGACAGCATTTTGACACAGACTATTGTCTTTACCTTCTTAAACTTTGATTTCCCGAAATTTGCTTTTTCGGATGAAGCTAGGGTGTCAAAGGTGAACTTGGAAAATCTGTCGCGTGATGCAGAGGAATAAATAATCATGTCGATCTGACTCTCAACCGTTCGGTTCCACACCACTAGGTGATCCTAGCTGGTCGGTCATATGCGTACAACTAGCGGCTTGCCCCTCGTATTCCTTCTGCTTTCTCTTGTGTTGGCCGGATTCTGGGCTCCTGCTGCCTCCTTCCTCGTTCCGGCCCTTCCCTCCTTTGTAACGAACTTCGACTTTAAAAAACGAGCAACTTTAGGGGTGTGTATGGGTGCCTGGTTTTTGCATTTTCATACCTCCGCATCTTTGATTATCTCCGCTCATGCTTGTGTATTTTCTATGTATTGCGCATGGAAAATATCCAGGGCGTTCCCCATCCCCTTCAAAAAGGCAGGGTCATGAGCTCAGTCGTGCCGTATATGGGTAGAATTACAAGCGTTTCCCCCCAAATTGAAACTCGCATATCCACCATGAACTCGTGCACATAGGGACTTTCCGCCTCCACCACACGCGATAGCAGCAATATGAGCGGCATTAAGGTCGTTTCGGAGCCGGACGAGGCCACGCTGACAGAGATGGTATATGTGGAGAGGTGGTACGATTTATAGAGCCGGTTGCCCTAAGTCTGACCATTTATTCTTACGCGAAGCGTCACTGCTAAGCATGAGCCTTCCTTGTGCTCAAGGGAGGACTGATTCACCCTGTCTTCCCTCCCCGCTGACGCCTCTCCTAGGGGGTGAGAAATTGGCCCAAGTGGGGCTGTGAACCCTCAGAGTTCCCTTGGACATACGGAGAAGCTGAGACCTGGTAAGCTTCTTTCCTTGGTCTGCAACGGGGTCATTGTTTGACAAAATTGTGTGGCCCCACCCCCTTTTTGCCGGCGACTCCTGTTGCACCCAGCCTGACGCAGTCAGTTCCTTTGTGACGTGCGAAGGCGACTCACCTTCCCTCTCCTCCTCTTTTCTGCTCGCGTAAATGCTCTCTTGTCTTCCACCCTGCTTGCTTAGCTACATCTTGGAGGGTAGCGTGACAGTCACGCCGTCGAATGGCCAGCCTGTGACCGTGGGCGCGGGAGACTTGGTCACCTTCCCTGCGGGCATGAGCTGCGTATGGTGAGAGGATGGGGAAAGAGGAAGAGAAGGAGGCAAGGTCAGGGAGAGGGGCGCTCCCTGTTTGAGGTCCCGTCGATGGTATGAAAGGTTACGATGTTGTGATGGCATATCTCAAACGAGGCGCCCAAGCGTAGTTACTAGTAGGATTCTTTCATTCCATCTAATACCGTATTTTTCATATTTGGTCGAAGTGTTTTGTTACATATTCTCGCGCCGACTTTATTTTTATATTTTTAAATCGCCTTTTTCTTCATCGCTCATGCTCAGGAAAGTAAGCAAGGCCATCAACAAACACTACAAATTCCACTAGTCACTCTTCCGCGCTCTTTCAGGAAGGCGCAGCTTGAAGTTCGGCAATTGTCAGATTATCTATGCGTAGAATTTTTGATAAACAGACGGTGGCGCAAAATTATGCAATGATGGAATGAAAGAGATGAGCGTATACCCTGATCAATATCTACAACGTAAAAGGAATCACCATTGGAAGACTCGTCTGTCTGCCCCCTGCATAATTTCCTTACTTTACTTCCGCCCCTCGTTTCCAGTCCTTTCCATGTGATCACGCTCGCTCTCTGTCTTCTCACAAGGAGATTTATCGAGACTCCTTAATCCAACGATATCGCGTGCCCACTGCCCCTTCCCGTTTCTTCTTGTCTGACCGCGTACATCAGGGTCCTGTCCATATCCAAACGCATATACATAAGAGACTCAAACCGGAAAGGCATCAGGAACTTAACGTGGCTTGCAGTGCCTCCTCAACCACAGCTGCCTAAGAAATGCTCATACCTTATTCTCATCTCTGATTGCTTCCACCTCTTTTTCTTATCTTTTGTACTTTAGTTTATTGTACTGTTTGAGTAGTGTCACACCTGAATATTAGCCTTCCTTCCCTCCTTCTTCCACGTGCATCGCGCTCAACACATACATTAAAGAAAATTGATGCTTGACTTCCACCCTGCCTCGCCGTCACCTTAGATACATTCCTACGCATAGAAAATGTTCTGCAGCCCTCCTCTGTTTCTTCCGTATTTCCCGTCTTTAATGTCGAGTAATGCGTCTCGGAACCGGAGAGAGATTTCTTTTAAGGAGAAAAGGAGGAAGAAAAAAGGGCGTGGTGAGGGCCAATTTCTAAAATGCACATTGATAACCAACAATACAATGATCACTGAGATTGGAGATCTTGTCCAAAAGCAACATCGAAGAGAAAGTGCATGATATAGAATAGGATAGGAAAGAGGGTACACGTACAGAATCGGAAGCGGCGGCTGGCGGCGTAGTCCTTGACGAACGCATCGAGTTTGGCCGGGTCCCTCTCTGTGAGAGCGGCCGTGACAATGGGGTCGTCGTTGATGAGGCGCATGATCTGTAGCGGAGAGAAAGGTGTGAAAAGAGGAGATGACGACAAAGGCTCAGGGAAGTGAGACATCACGCAGAGAGGATCTTTCGTGAGGTGTTGTCTCGCTACCGGAGGAACCACTTTCTTTGCTCCTATTTACCTCATTGTTGCCGGTAACCTTGGAGAGGGGGTCCGACGCGCTCACGGTCTGCGTGGAGCGTGAGTAAAGGGGAGGATGAAGACAGTCAGGAATCCGGTCAGTCATTTAATGACCGCGACCTATGCTTCGGATTGTTCCCATGATGCTTCGCCTACGTACCTTCAGGACGTCTGTGTTCACGCCAGGGTACAACTTCTTGTTGAGAGCCTCGTTGACTGTGTCCATGGCGCCCCCGTCACCGGCAGAAGCGGCGGCGAAAGCCTCCTAAAGATTCCAAGAAGGGTTTAAGGAAAGAGATATGAGATGAAGACGGGATTCTGTGATCGTTGTCGCAGAAGGCTTTTCCCTTGCCCCTTTCAGGCCAAACCATCTACGATGCTGGGCAATGCGAATCCCTCTGGTGTCTTACGCTGATGTTGTTGGCATCCTCTGCCAGCAGCTCAGAAAGAGCGCGGGTGGAGATGCTCGGATCCTTCATGGTCTTAAGCATGTCAGGCAGCGTTTTCAAAATGCTGTTCAGGCCCGCCGTAAAACCGGCAGTGGTCTGTTGCAGCCCAAAGAGAAGGCCCATATCGAATGTAGAGGGTGCAAAAACGATTAAGCGGATGAATTCAAGCAGAGGCAATCAAACTTTTGCCCCCCCTTGCCTGCACGCTCTCCTTCTCCCGTCCCGACTTACCCCGGCATCATCCAGGCGGCGCCCCGTGATCTCCTTGAAGCCATCAAAGGCAGCAAGCAACGGCAAGTTTTCCATGATTTTGTGCTGGGTCTCCACGTCGTCCAGGATCGCCTGCACGGTGTAGAGGAAGCAAATTACAAGAAGAAAAAGATGAAGAGGATATGAGTATGCATGTCTACCTTGCACTATGGCCCAGTGCACAACGCATCTTAGGACGGCCACACCCTCGTCCGACCTCGTCTTCTTTGCATCTTTTCTCACCTTCATCCCCGGGGAGGCAAAGCTGGTCTCAAAGAGCTTCATGATATCAAGGCCATTCTTCCAGGTGTCCTGTAAGGCGATTGAGCAAATTAGAACAAGCGTGAGTTGAGATACGTGACCTACATTCTTGCTCAGGGGCTTTCTATCCGCTCTTATATCTTGTGCTTGCATTTCCGAGTGTACCTGCATCATGGTGAGCTCGCCGTCAGGCTTGTAAGCAGGAAGCGTGTCCTCCATGACATCCTTGGCTGCGCCAGAGAGCACGCCAGTGAGAGACTGTGTAGATAATCAATAAGGGAGTCAGGGAAGGAAAGACGAGGAATAGATCCTATCAAGACAACCCCCCTCGCATTTCCTCCCATCCAATGCAATCTTAAATTTACTTTGAAGTTTTTCAATACCTGCATGCGGCGCATTGGGCTCTCAGCAACCGCGAGGCTGGCGAAGGTAAGCATGGCCATGGTGGCCACGGAACGCATAATACGAGCCATTTAAATGCTCTGTTTTTTGACACAGCGATTTGAGAGAGCTTTTCTGCAAATATGTAATGGAAAGCGAGACCTATGAGCATATGTAAGGATGGCAGCGTAGAGGAGCTCGCATGCCAAATCTGCGCCTGCTTTCACTATTTAAGGCAGAACACAAATTATCTACCTCCAAGCCACCTAGGATTGCGCGAGAAAAAAGCAGTGAAAGGGCTTTGGTAAGGACACTACGCAAAGTAAGCAAAGGACAACATATTCTAAGGCTGCACTACGACCAAATGCTGTCCTGAGTCTCGCGAGCTCGACATTTCTTGTCACGAAGTTAGGCTGACGTGACCATAAATCCAAATTTCTGTGTTGAGACTACAAGATAATGCCTCCACTGCTCATAAGAGCGAGACGCGCTCAGGATAAGACAGAAGAGGTACACCCCAAGTTGAATTCTTCTGCATGACTTTATCGTAGAGGGGCAGACAAAGCCCATCCTCTTGGTGCAGAGAAATTGCCTCCTCCTCTCCGCTCAACGGGTATAAGGTAGCAACAATCACCGCCTGGCTGTCCGCGCGGGCGTATGGCTCATTCTATATACATGGGCCCATTCAATTTTCAGCCCTGGTGGCTAGCAACACATGCGAACAGTAAATTGGGGCGTGGAACTCCGGGAGTACTGAGGTGCCAATCATGTCAGAGGAAATAGAGGGATAGAGACGAACCCATTTTTTATGGGTTCTCTGCTCTCACCTCGAATTTTGGGAGCAGTAAGTGAATTTCCTGGTGACGAGAGCCCATAGGGCGGTTGGGTTCCCAACGGTTGAAGCGGGAGTTGTTAGTGGTGTCAAAGCGGAGATTTGAAAAGTCATTAAATATAAATTTCTTTTTTGGAGATAAATCACAAATGCAAATCTCGAGACGAAGTAGTCAATTTATTTTTTTAATTTCAATGAAATGCATGCAAATTGACAGATTTTGGACTGAGAGACATTGGTTCCTTTCACACCAAGAATTCCGTTGACAGATGAGGGGCGAGAGAATTGGATAACGGCGGCCCATTCAAATCAAATACCGCGTCAATTCTGGTTCGGGAGGCTCTACTTTTGTGTGTCAGGTTTCCTGTTTTTCTTCTCCTTATTCGGGGACCCTCTTTATCGAATGTTACACTCAACGCTTGTTCACTTTGGGATTTGAGAAATATTTAATATGGTGTACCAAGAAGTATGAAATGTCCTTGGTCGTTGAAGGTCAAGCATGCATGTCGAGCTACTCTGTGTTTGAAATCGTCTGCCCATGGGCGCTTCCGTCCCAGCGCTTGACTACAAATGGATGTCAATAAGCTGTCTTACTCGAGGCCCTAGACCACAGATCTACTCTTCCTTTTGGGAAGCATTGGTCTGCATTGCATATGGGCCAGCGTCGTGCTGCATGTTTGGCCTGATTTGACATGGCCTGCGCTGTAACTAAGTGTTAAGGGCGGCCTGATTTGTCAGCCCAGAGCGTTTGCATTACAAAGCCCTCGTTTTACACTGCTAAGAATGCCCTCTCCTCACTAGAGCACAGCGCTACATTGCAATTATCGAGTTCAATGTTTTGCTCTTCAAGGATGGTTAGACTCAGTGGTCTTGTCATTCGATCTTTCTGGCGGACAAATTATTCCCCGCCGCAGTGATCAGATATATTTCGGTCGTCTCTAAATGCAAAGCACTTCATTTACCCACATTCAAACAGGACAGTTTCAACTTTTGGCTTGTCCACTCCATATTCCCTCGCAAAGGAGCAAAGAGACAGAACTGAAAGTCTGTTAGTAATGCCTGCCGAAGGATTACGCGCTCGCCGCTATGTTTATGGCGGTCTGTTGGCCGCCGTTGGCGTGGCTGTAGCTCTGGCCCTCGTCTTCACTGTGGGTGGTGCTGGCCAGAAAGACAAGGCCGCAGTCGCCTCGGAGCCGAATGTGGCCTCCCTCGACACTGACGTTAATATTAAGGATGTTTTCGACGCTGCCAAGCCCGCCGAAACTGCCCTATCAAGGTCGATACCTGGACCCCGCCTAAGGCTTCGGAGCCTGAAGAATCTGCGAGCACCGGCCAGACATTCACTAATGTAAGTAGTGCGAAGGATGAGTCGAAGGCTGAGAGGTTCCTGTTCAGTGCTCACACGATCTCCTTTTTCTCTATTGTAGGCCAACGCCAATGCCCTCACCGGCGCAATCAAGGGCGACCCCTTGCAGGCTATCGCGACCATGGGTGCTGATGTCAATCTGAAGGATTTCGTGGGCCAGAACTCCTGCTGGCCTGCGGATGGTGCTGAGCTCTTGGACGCTGTCGAGAACCAGGGCTGTGAATTGGTTGTCTTGAGCAGCGGTGACCCCGATGCCTATGCTCTTGACGAAGATATTAAGGTGAACCGTTACGTCCGCGTGATGGGCAATCCCGCCGTGCTTCCTCAGATCGATGCGGAGGACGCCGAACGTGCCTTCACTGTCGGGCCCGGGGGTCTCCTTGAGCTGCAGTTTGTCCGTGTCCGACAGGGCGGGGGGACCGTGCGCGACCGCTACGGCTTGGAGGGCTCGGGCTCCTCCTCTGTGGTGGGCGAGGTCCGTGGTGGCTGTGTGTCGGTGGAGCCGGGGGCTCTGGGGGCCAACTTTGTGGGCGTGACCTTCATTGCTGTTGCCAACGATTGGGACTCCGTCCAAGGCGCGATCGAGGATCAGATCGACTTTGTCGGTGGGCGAATCTACGGTGGCCACGTCTACGTCGCCGCCGGGACTGTCAACTTCTTCGGCTGCAACTTCTGGGACACCACGCTTCTCCTCCCTTTCACTGACCAGGTCTCTATCGGTGGTGACGTGCTCGTTGTGGCCGGGAACGCCTTCTTTACCGGCTGCACTTTCACCGCTACCCTTCTCTTTGGTAACTTCGGTGGCGCGGGTTTCAACGTTGCCGTCTTGGGTGGCAATGCCGTCTTTACTTTCTGCGTTATCCAGGCGCAAGGCGTGGCCCAGTCGGCCAACGGTGCGGGCCAGATCCTTTTCGTGGGTGGCGGGACCATGATCCTTACCGGCTTGGACTTCCGATTCGCCGCCCCCATCCTCTTCTTTAGTGGTATCGGCGATTTCTTTGTCGGCGGTGGTGTAATGATCTTCACGGGTGTCACGATCGAGAACACGTACCCCATCCTCGCTGCCTATGGCGCTGGTTTCTACCTGGCTGTCGGTGGTGGCGTCATGGTCGAGACCGGGGTCACCTACGTCCAGTTCAATTGCCCCGCTCACCAAGGCCTCACGGGTGCTTCCATCTTCACGGGCGCGGGTGTCTCCATCCACGTCGGTGTCCCCGCGTCCTTCTACGGTACCACTGTCCTCTTCACGGGCCAGGGTGGATTCTCGTACAACGGTGCCGGCTACTCTCTGTGGTTGGGCAGCCCCATTGCGATTTTCCTGGCCACCTTCGCCTTCTTTGGCTTGGGTGGGCTCACCTCCCAGCCCGCCGGTTTCATGGTGTACTTGGGATGCCCCGCTTTCCTGCCCGCCGCGCTCGTCTACTTCGCCGGCCTGGGTGCGGTCATGTACTTGGGTGCCGGAGGTGCTGTCATTGGTGGCTCCCCCGTTTTCGCTCCCGCCTTCAAATTCTACAGCTCTCCCGAGGGCGTGGCCAACTACTACGTCCAAGGCAACGGTGATGCCCCCAACAATGGCATCGGCTACTACGACAAGAACACGAGCATCATCGCCACGCCCGTGCCCAAGATCAAGCCCAACAAGACGCGCATCCTGGCGACCGAGGAGGACTTCCACAACGAGGTCCGCAAGCTCCGGGCCGAGCGGCGCCTGTCCGTCTCGGCGGTCAGCGACCTCCTCTTCAACTTTATGGACGCCGACGGCGGCGTCAGCTTCTTGGGCGCGGACCTGAAGGTACAGCCCTACATCGACCTGGGCAACAACGAGGTTGTCAAGGAGCTGTCCAGCTGGGTGCCCGCTGGGATCCTGCAGGGCGCCAAGGACATTGGCCTCCTGAACAAGTTTGGCTCGGAGGTGGGCCGCGGGCCCCTCCTGGAGATGCAGGCGGACAGCGTCACCGAGTGCCAATTCTGCGGTGAGGGAGACGTGGTCGGCTCCAACAAGGGGGCTTGCACCAAGTTCGACTCCTGCAATGCCCTCAAGGAGAAGGCACCCGCCGGATCCGAGGCGGCCTTCGATTCCAACGAGGTGGAGTACGACGCCTGGCACGTGGTCATGGCCACCTTCAACCCCACCACCCCGGCGGGCGAGTCCGTGGCGCCCGAGGACTTCCGGGACGCTTTCCGCTCCTACTTCCTGGCCAACAAGACGACCGGCGTCTCCGTCTCCGCCTTCTTGGACCAACCCGACGAGCTTTTCAAGGAGTCCATCCCCGCACGCGCCTTGTCCGCTCTCGCCGACGACAAATTCCCCGCCTCCACGCCCCTCCGCGCCGTTTTCCTCTTCAACGACGACGGAAAGGCGGAGGCGGTGGCTTCCGCCCTCCAGGACACCACCTCCAGCTGGTACGAGGATATGGAGCTCTACGTCCAGGATTTCCTGAGCTTGGATGGGGTGCAGATTGGTGCCATGGACGGCGAGCTCGAGAAGGTGCTCTACGTGCCGGCCTACAACACCCCCGAGTGGTCCAAGGCCTTCGCCAAGGAGGCGGACGCCGCGGCGGGGACCAACTCCATCCGTCTCATCGACGGGGAGCACGCCGGCTTGCCCATGTCGCACGTAGCTGCCGGGCAGACCTACACGGTTCTCCTCTCCAAGTTCCCTAAAAACTTGGACATGACCGTCCAGCTGATCGGCTCCCAGGAGCTGAAGGGGAAGAACAAGCAGACCATGTCGCCCATCTCCTCCATCAAGACGGACAAGGACGGGAGTGCCAGCATCACGTGGAAGGTCCCTGCCGACCAGCCCTTGGGTGACTACTACCTCAAGGCGAACGACAAGACCGGCCTGATCTTCGGGATGACCCCCTCGCTGGAGGTGACGGCCGCGCCCAAGCGTCGGCTTTGGGGCCCTCACATGGAGCTCTAAGGCCTTCGTGAGGGACCAAAAAGTGACAAGGGAGAAGTGACGGCGTCCCAAAGAGTCGTGCTTTTCCCCATCACTTTGATCGCCTGTGTACCTGGGGAAGGTCACTCCTCGAGGAGGTACGGGATTAAAAAACGGGTGGTATAGAAAAGGGACGAATAATTTTATTTGATCGGTATGTAATACAGCAAGGAGGTTTTAATGTAAGCAAGTCCATCCATCATGAGGAGAGGAGGGACAGGCTGGTAAAGAGGGAGAGGTGAGAGGGGAAACATATTGTATGTGGCGCCCATCATCCCTTCGCGTCCTGTCCTTCCGTTAGGTCTCCTAGTGTATTCGGAGAGTGCGCTCGATCACTCAATTTTTGGGTGCGTCTTGCTACTTTGTGAGTGCGTGGGTGGATGGATGACTTCGTGTGTCGCTCTCTTTGCTCGTTTCGGCCTTGCTTCGGGCGTACAGACGCGTTTTCCTTGTGAGACGTGTAGTATTGCCTTGGAGGAGAGAGTGTACACATATATAAGCCAAAGCACTCGAAGTAAGCCAGCCCCAGCAACAACAACCAGCAGAAATTCAGTCAAACAAATTGTGTGTTGAGGGTTAGGGAAGTTAAAGTGACAGGAGTAACATAAAAGTACCTATATATTTTTGACGATAAAGTGTACTTATACGACGTGGAGCAGGAACTCGTAAAGGGCAATGTTTGAACATGGAGGTCTATGAGGAAGTCTTTTGCTATCCAAGGCTCAGGGGCAGAGAGAGAGATGGGAGTGTGCGACATCAAACACTTGGACCTTTACGTAAACGATGCGGTGGACAAGGAAAAGTGCATGAAGCAGAACATGTCAGCCGATAGCTGACAGTATACTAGATTCCCACGACGCGCAGGTGCTGTTCTGTCGCTATTTCGCTATTTCTTTCGTACTTTCTATTTTCAACTGCAACTACACTGTGAAACTCACACATCTTACTTACATTTTCAATAATCATTTCATGATGTTAGCCCTTTTGAAAATGTCGTTGCACTACATTGTCGAGGCTCTTTGAGGCCTCGCAGACCTCTGCATCACACGTCCGGTCCAGACTGAGAGCACGAGCTCGTAAAACGAGGAAATGCATTTGTTGGAGCACACCCTGAGGGATCCGCCTCTCAGCTCATTCTCAGATGCTATTTCTTATGTGCCCTGACCAATCTTGACGCTCCCTCCGGGCCCAGGCCGCTACCCCCAGAGGCGTCCATTGCGTACACTTCCTTCCCTTCTCTCCCTTTTCGCCTCCTTCGGCCGGCTGTCTCCTGTCCTCCCCTCCGCCAAATACGCCGAGAAGGAGTGGGGCGAGGGAGCGACGGAAGTAAGGAGAAAGGTCATGCATAGAGAAGAAAGAGACTTGCTCTGCGGGCGATGGTAAAGACAAGGACCATCTGCAAAGCGGAAGGAGAGTGGAACGCCAAGAGCGAATGACTACATAGAGAGCAAACTGAGCTCACAAGGATATCGAGAGAGACTCTTTCTGCACAAAGGATACGACCGGAAGATGGAAGTAGAAGACAGTGATTGCTGTATTCTACTCATGTCTTTCCCCCTCCCTCCCTCCCTCCCTCCCTCCCTTTCCCACTCCCTCCCTCTCTCCCTCCTGTTTTCTTATTCCCTCATTTCCCTACTTGGCGGTCAAGCGCGCAGGCAGCGGCCACTGTTTTTTCCTTTCAGAGGGATCGAAATCTTCCCACTGCTTTAGTCTCTCTGAAGCGCCCTCTGTGTCTCCGAAGCCGCCAGTCCGGTCAACCCCATCATGAGCCGCCTCCGTCAGCACGTAGGCTGTAGGGCAGGGTGTCGACGAGAAATGACGATTCGAATCAGAATAGAAGAGAGGAGGAGGACGGAAAAGCGGAGACAGAAGAGGAAAATGCTGTGCCTTTGCTAACTTTTATTAGTTTCTGCGTTTTATTGCTAGCCCTCCCAATCCTACGAAAAGCGGACTGAGAGGCAATTGGGCCAGCCAAATTACGTCTCTGAACATTCATTATCCTCCTTTGGTCGCTCTTACCCTCCCTCCTTTCCCTCATACCTAGCGCGCGGAGATCCAACCAAGCGCGTAAAGGATTAAAGGAGCAGGCGAGGCCAAAATCGGCGAGCTTGATCCGAAGGAGGGGTCGTTGCGGGCAGGAAAGGGTGAGAGGATTGACCACAGACCCGCTGATAGGTAAGGTGTCTTCTTCGAAGTGGCTGAGGAGAATGTTACCGCTGTGGGGCAAGGCACGAGGAAGAGAGGATGGGGAGGCGAGGACGAGAGGGGAAGGACAAGCTCGGGCCAAGGAAGGAAGGGAAGAGAGGAGATGCATTAAATAGCAAGAGAAATAAAAATGGCGGCACTGGTTCCATTTTCCCCTCCTCCTTCAAGCCTTTCTGTCTCCCTACCCAGTCGACCTCCTTCCCACCACACCTATGCACATCCCGATGGCAGAGGCCCTTGCCATGGACGAAGGCCAGAGCCTCCCCCAAGGCCTCCGCGAGGGTAAGAAGGTGGGGAAGGGGAAGGGGGAGGAAGGGAGGGAGGGAAGCCTCCTGCGCCTCCCGACGGTGGACAAGGAAGGCGCGAAGGTCCACTCGATTTTCAGTTTTCTGTCCCTGCGCGTCAAGGAAGGGAACGGGTAAGAAATCTTGAGGATTGATTTGTAGCTTTCCGCCCGCCTTTTTTCTCCCTTTATTTTCTTTTTACATTGAGCAATACCCTCTCCAAGACGAGCGCCGAGGGTCGCGACGCTTTTTCCTCCTTCGACCCGCTTTCCCCTTCCCCTCCCGCTTCCGTGTTGTTGTGGTTCCAGACCACTCCGCACAAAGAGGCGAGGAAGGGAGGGTGGACTGAAGGGGCTGAGGATGGGCACGCGCGGATGGAGGCAGAGAGGTGAAGAAGGACGGCAAGTTCTTTCAGAGCCTTTCCTGTCGATGGGCGGGTGGCCGGTATAAGGGGGGGGAGCAGGCTCTCACGTCAGCGCAAACAAAAAAGTCGACAGTGAGAGGAAAGGTGGGCGGGAAGCAGGCAGGGAAGGAGGACGAGAGACAGGGAGGGGAGATGGGAGGGATCACCTGCAGCATGCTTGTGGTAGCGCTTCAGGACATAGTGGGAGTGACCGACTGAGAACGTGTACAGTTTTCCTCCCCGTTCGGCGAGCGGGTGGAACACCTTATCCTCGTTCCCTCCCTCCATCCCTCCCACTCTCCCGCCCTCCCGCCCGTCACGTCTCTCAATCTCCTCCCTTCTAGTTGAGCGGGGGATAGGAAGGGAGAAGAGAAGTCCCCTGGCAGAGAGAAAGGAGGGCGTGATCCTCTCTCCTCGCGTCCCTTGGCCATCCGGGCTGGGCGGGAGGGGGGTCGGCAAGGAACAGGAGGGAGTGGAAGCCCGCAAAGAGGGCAGACGGAGGGA